TTCAATTCTGCCAATCTGCTTGACGCTGCAGTGTGATGGTGATAGAAGTGTCATTTCGGACATATGCATGCATGCGCTTAGCCGCCGGGTACTGTAGTCACAGCAACACACCACTGCGATGTTGGAATAGTGTTCTGCATTTTCAGCTATTGAAGGCAGGCTGATATGTCTAAGGTTCCAGCCAAGGCTCACTCATGGCGAGTGAACGCCCAAGATACTAGGCTACCCGGGGTAGCGGACAGGACCGAGGGAAACAGAAGCCGAGAAGGCGGGAGTGGAAGACACCTTCGCCCCCTATGGAGCCACACGGGGCTGGTGCGATCTACGTCGGCTTGTGGCCTGACCGAACAGAGGGCTAATTAACTAGCTAGGCATAATTAACCCCAGCGATGATATGGAGGCATTGCGGTATCGAAGTCCCAGCCGGTTTCATTCAATTGCCAGCCGTTCTTCTTGCTGCCTGACCGACTGACCGATGGGTAACTAGCCATCACCATACCATCTCTCTCGTCCCAACAACCAAGAAGAATGCCTAACTATCTGTCTACCGGCTAGCGCGGTAGGCTTGGGGGCAGGGAAAAGGGGTGAATATTTGCCACTCAGCAAACAGACAAACAAGAAAGAAGCAGTCCGTCATACTTACAGATCTATTACGGGGTATGCCTATCTGTTACTGCCACTCGATGGTGCTAGCCCGCTATAATAATCCGCCTCGAGGGGGGGAATAAAGGTATCAGGGGGATGGCGCAGTCCGCAGTGCTGGCTAGACTTCGATGTCGCCCAGCAGGAGTGAGTACCGAAGAAGATATATGGAGACGGATGGATAGGGGGGGCAGGGAGGGGAGGTAATAGAAGAGGCACGTACCGACGCCGAGCGAGCGCCACCGCATATGGGGTAAAAGAGCCTTGCTCTACCGAGAAAGGCACAGTCGATGGGGGTGACGAGAAGGCACGAGGCAAAACGCAAGGCACTTGGCTCCTTCGCTAGCTAGGGCTGCGTATGTATGCATGTGTATGTTGGTTTGACGTGACGGGCTGCAGGAACATGTGTCACGTATACATACTACACACCCATCCATCCATCCAGGGGCCGGGGCCAGGGCCAGGGCTGAAGGGGAGGAGAGGAGGAGGGGAGAGGTGGGATGTATGGGGGCGGAGGCGATCATCTGCCCCGCCTGTCGTCAGCGCAGATGTGAGGTTTAAGCCAGTTGGCGTTTTTCTTCTTCTTCTTCTTCTACTCCTACTCCTCGTGGTGACCCTAGGTATGCCAAGGTATGGATGGTAATAGCATGGCCCCGAACGGACGTCGGTCATCTATTTTACGTGTATACATAGGTAGGCGGATGTGTAATAACTCAGGATTGTCGCTGGGTTGTCAGTTCAGATCAGAAATATGCATCCACTTACATCAGAGTTTCCCTCGTACTCCCACATCTACATCCACACCCACACATGCAAGGGCACAGCCATTGTATGCTGCAGAGAACACGCCCGGATAACCGGTGGACTGGCTGGCTGGCTGGCTGGCTGATCGTCAGTGTATGTGCGTATATGCGTATGTACGTGCTGTGCTGCCGTCTACAATGGCACGTGCATACACACATGCATCTATTTACACACACATGATGAATGCGTATGTGAGTAACCAGGCGCAGCAACAGCTGCTGGGACCCAATAACGTACACATATACATACACACGCAAGTCAGTATGCATGTAGGCAGGCATATGTGTGTATAGAGCAGAGCAGCAGCTACATATATAGCCAGCTATGGGCGAATCAACCTACAATCCGCGGTCTTTAGTTATTTTTGGACTGCGCCACACCTCCGGTTACGCTACCTTACCGGTAGACGACCGACGAACGAACGGCCCCAGGGAAACGGGGGGAGGGGGTCGTGGGGATGCTAAACTTGGGGCGGCCTGGCTGGTAGAAACTATGTAAGTACTTAGCTAATGTCTTTCTGCTGCAGAAGCTGGGAAGGAGCCGTGCTTGGCGTTTGCTGGCTGCGTCAGCTCCCCCGAAGCAAGCCAAACACGATTAGCTTCTGACAGGATGGTTCGCGCCCCCCTCGTGGGGAAGCCGGCTGCGGACTTGACACAAGTAGCAAGGAACAGGGTCTTCACTCGCTCCATTCCTTCAAGGCGTCCTGTGGTAGTGGTGGTGCAACAAGGCAGGGGAGGAGGGAAGAACGGCCGTGCGTGGGCTTGCGGCCCGAGTGGTACACACGGCACGGATGGTTGATGAAGGCACATTAGGAGTGGTGATGGCTAGGTACGTAGTCCGGAGCCAGGTGAGCAGGGTGGCTTTCTCGATTCCAGTGCTAGATTAGACGTACACTTCCACCTAGCGGATGTGGGGAGCTAATTACCAGACCACTACTATCGTCTTACCGACCACATCACTTGACGACATCGGGAGAAGGAGACCTGGCCAATATAATCACACACGCCTTCACGAACACCTTAAGGCGGCAAGGCGGTTGGATAGTCATGAACGAACAGCATTAAGGAACGGACGATTAGCTTCAGTTTAGCAATGTCACACCGCAACTTGATTACGAGCCGGAAGGCAGACAGGAAGGCAGGACGGGACCTAAAGGGGTGTATCTATCGGACTCGAAGTACTCGTGGAGGTGAGGCCGGGGCCCGTTGTCGAAACCTGGACTGAGACGAGTGGACGAGGGTCGTTGATACCTTGCCTTTACCGTCATTGCTAGCCGTCTGTCTGTCTATCTGTCTGTTAATCACCAACGCGGCCCCCGAGGTGAGAGCTAACTGTGGAGACCCGGGGATGTGATGGGGATAAGAAAAAGTCTTCGCCTCTGATTCACGCCCCCAAAGCTTGCCCGCTGGAGTTAGTTGGAGCATTGGGCATCAAGAATAACCAGTTGACCCGCGGGGCTGGGTCATCATCTACCTGAGCACGTCGGTAGCGGGCAAAGACAGCGCATTCCGGGAGAGAACGCGAAGATAAACCTGAATACAGTAACGAAAGGTGACCCGGTGGAAGCGGATGGTGGAGCTCCCCGAAAATAAATGGGGGAAAGACAAGGCGGTAGCGCAAAACGGCCACGACGAATAGATGGACGGTCTGTTAGGGAGCAGGAAGGAAAAGAGAAAGAGAGAGAGAGAACTGGCCAAAGCGCATAAAGGCAACAAACAAGGCATCCGGCGCTAAGAGTAGGCAACTGGCCGCCTTGACGGCCTCAAGAATGAGACTTACATATTGCAAGACGAGAAACACGTACGTTAGAGAACAAGCCATCAGGTCAGAAAGGGGTAGTCTCGGTTACACAACTTGCACAGCAAATCAGACCCACATCCACTGCGACGAGGGGGGAATATAAACCCCCCAAACCCCAAAAGGGAATTCAGCTACCAACTACTTAACTAGCCATTTTTGGCCTGTGTCTGTCTATATGTTTTATATAAGAGGGACATGAGGTAAGTCAGGTGTCTACTAGGTAAGCTGGCAAAAGCAACGAAGGAGAAAGGATGGATGGATACGCCATGGGAAAGGAGAGCTAGGCACAGCCTGATGCGGCTCTGCTTGTACTGGTACTTACAATTCCTTGCAATCTTTCCTCTCTCTTCTCTCTGTCGACCAGGGGGGGGGGGCTGCCGGGGACATTATTGGTCGACATGGGAATGATTCGAGGTTGATGCTTGGCTGCAGCCCATTGGCTCGGTTTTCTTTTCGGCATCGGAGATAAAAGTCTAGAAAAAAGCAATGGAAACAACTAGCTAAGAGATCATCATGTAGGCTGTTCCTTGAGTTCCTTCCCCAAGGGCAAGTGCTGACACGCAGACGATTAGTTCAAAGAAGCGTGCCCCCTTCTCTTTTTTCTCTTTTTTCTCCTTTCTGTTACCTAAGTCAGCTCAGTCTACAATACCCATTGCTATTCCTGTAGCGCCTCATTCTATATACATACCTACACATACTTACAACATGATGCATACTTAGTCCCAGGCTGGCGACGATGATCTCTTTGGGGGCTTACCTACCTAGCGAATCTGCAGCAGACCAGATTGACTGACTTTCTTCAAGTTTATTTCAAACTCTGACACCACCAACATTGACACTGGCACTGACTCTGAAACACAATCCTCGTGTTTATGTCGCATTCGGGATTATAATTTCTTTTTTCTATTCTCCCTCTTCCCCCCTTTATATTAGCATCCGTTCCGATGGTATGCGGTCCGCCACGCCCCACCCCGCCCGACAGCCCCCGGTCTCCTGAATGCCGGCCCCAGTGGAGAAGTCAATTATGGGCATAATGCCTACCTTCCCCTTTCGTCCAGCATGCATAGATTTATTGATATATACGGCCATTTTAAGCCTTACAAGCGCTTATATAATGACAAGGGAATAGAGATGTACAGTACAATACATACTTAACACAATGTTCTAATCGCAGGCTGTCCGGGCTGTCCTCCAGTCAATTAAATATAGGTAGTAACGATTTCTTGCATTAATTAACTCGGCCTCCCGCAGTCGAGTCCATGTATGTCATGTATGTGTATCATCGGCCGAGGAGTTACAGCAGCGGAAACCCCCTTAACAGAAGGCTTGTCCACGAACATGTTGTGACTGTGCACCGTTAGCTGCTTACAAGAAGCATACCCTTCACCGGGCGCATGTCGAGAATAGTCCGTGATAGCAAGCTGAACACTATATATACCTGTGCCTATCTATACCCACCTACCGATACTATAAATGTGGGAGCATTCCCCAAGACGGCCAATTCTTACTTGCCAAGACTACATCCGTCTTACTTACATAAAATACATACAAGCCGAATAATATCGGGTCCGATAATATCCAGCAGCCAGCTAACGTCATCGCTAAAATAAACACCTACTACGAATGAAAAGACAACCAGGCTAATACGCAAGCAAGTATACAAATGCATTCCAAAGGTAGAATGCGAACGAGCGAAAGTAAGCAAGCAACCAAACGAGGAAAATAAAAAAGACAAAAACATCAAAAGAAAATATCGACACCTGTGTGATTCGAACACACGCCCCCGAAGGGAATGCCTACCAACTATAATGCATTGTCTGCAACATAGCAGGGCATCGCGTTAACCACTCCGCCAAAGTGCCTGGGTTCAAGTCGAGGTAGCTGCTGAACACTGGGTAATGCCTAGTAGCTTGGTCAATTTGGTCGCGTATAGCTATTGATATGCTAAAGCTTGAAAGAGGGGTCCGGGCCAGTTTAATATGGGACACTATCCAAACCCCCTTCTATCTGCCACCCCCCTCCTCCCCCTTTTTTCGTCTTCCTTCTCAGGTACCTATGAACTACTTGCATACACACACACATGGCCATTCAAACTGATTGCATTCTGTACTGTAGCTACTTCTCGTATTTTCAAGCTCTTTATGTTTTGATTGACTGACTGTCTAAGGTTTATAACAATTCCTCTCTGGTTTAGTGCATAATTCGTCTTCGCTCCTATTTCTCCTATCCTCTTCCCGGTTCACTGGGACATCATTCTGTCTGTTCTCTGTTCTCTGTTCTTCTCTTCTCTTCTTTTCTTTCATTTTTTACCTCCTCTCCAGACCCCGCCCCCAACTTCCAAAGAAGGATTCCGGGATTGCGGGATTCTGGGGAAAGGAGAAGCGCGGGACGGGGCGAGGCGAGGCGAGGCAGGGGCCATGTTGGGGGCGGATTGGTTGGTGATAGGATACAAAAGAGGTCAATATCAATATGCCCTGTCCGGGGACCTACGCGTATATATATATATCTTCGGACAAGAATGGTATGATGCCTAATGTACGTATGTTACACATTTCGTCTCAACTTTGACCAATCCATCCATCCATGGCTCCATTGCCGTGCCGTGCCTTCCTTTCGGGGCCGGCGGCTGGGCCGTACAAAGAGAAAACATAAAAACGAACGCAGTTGGGGGCGGTGAAAGGGGGTATGATCGCCCATGCCACGACTTCCAACTCTCGATTCAACTTCCGTCTCCCTTCATTACTAGCGTGCCATGGTCTCTCCCATTAAGCATATCGCCAATACTCCATTCTTGGCAGCGAAAGCTACCAGTCGAAAACTAGTAGTAATAACGATAACCACCCGAACCGGATACTTGGATGTGTTGGTCTTTTTTAAAAAAAGAAGATAGTGCAAATGAAGAGGCAAATTGTAGGTAGTACTTTGTTCGTGTTCGCTCGTGTTCTTCTCTTGGTTGGAAAATAGTCTCTCTTCGAGATTCGATCGGTAATCGAGGGCCGCCCTGGCTGATTTGAGCGGCATGGGCAATGGTCATGCCCCGTGTAGCCTAGCCGATTAGGGAAATCCTCGAGCCGTCTTGTTGATGGAAATTGCCAGGTCCAGCCCTTTCGGACGTTTCTGGTCTTCCACCGCGCAGTGATGGACGACGGTAGGCAGTGGTTCCGAGATCAAGCGGCGGCAGTCATCGATAATCGATTCCTCTTGGTCGGCTTGGTCTTCGCGGTGGAAGTATACTTTTTACTAGCCTCGTCCTCCTCTGACTTCTGCGAGAAGTCCTTCCATTTCCTCCAGCCGTCAAAGTCGATAAGGGCCTGCATGCAACCCCATTCCTTCACCTTGCGCTCTAGCCAAACAAAGTTGACGGGCTGAACACAGATGTGACGTTAGCATCCGGTTTAACTCGAGGCACACGAGAAAGGAACATAGAGAACTAATGGAACACGAGAGACAAGAAACGCGCCACACAAACATGAACGCACCTTGGTTAAAAAGTCATTACAGCCAGCGGCCAACGCCTCGTGCCTGTCGCTCTGCAACGAGCTCGCCGTCAGTGCGACGATGATGACGGGGCTTTTGAACATCTCTGTGTTGACGAGGCGGTCTTCCTCCTTCTCGGGGTCGGGGGCCTTCTCCTTTTCGGCAGGGCTCAGAGCGCTACTGGCGCTCGAAGAGAACACGCCGATGTTGTTGACCTTCTCGATGCGGCGAATCTCCCGGGTGGCTTCGAGGCCATTCATCTTGGGCAGCTGGATGTCCATGAGCACCAAGTGGAATCCACCGGCACGCCATTTGCTGACCGCCTCGAGTCCGTTCATCGCCGTCTGCCACCGCACTTTCAGTCGCTTCACGAACGCTTCCAAGAGCCGTAGATTGATGGGATTATCCTCGACGATCAGCACGTTGATGGGCGGCACGGCGCCGTTCAGCAGGCCCGAGGGTAGCGATGGGGTTTGCGGCTTCGACTGTTGCTGCTGCTGCGACTGTTGCTGTTGCTGCTGCTGCTGCTGCTGCTGCTGCTGCTGCTGCGGGTGTTGCTGTCGTTCGTCTCCTGTTTTCTGCTTGGTCTTCTTTGGTCGATTTGTTAGTCGAGGCGATGACACGCGAGGGGGTGGGGTGGCTACTCGTTCCGGGGCTGGTGGAGATGGCATTGGAGGAGCGGCCGGCGGAGGATGGACGACGGCGGAATGGTCTGAAGAGGCACCTGAGTGAGTCCTTGAGCGTGGTGGTCTCCCGTAATTTTGAAGAATGATTGGCGGCGCACCTGATTGAGAAGCGTGGCCACCGTTGGTGACGGTCGAGGCCGGCGAGGCAGTATGCATCCGTTGTACCTTGGGCCGTGAGCTTTGCCCCATTCGTCTCACACTGCCCGGAGATGGTAGGGCTGGGAGTTGGCCTCCGCCGAGAACAGCCATCGATGGTGGGAAATGGATGGTATGAGGTCCGTTGAATGTGGCCGAGTTGGGGGTGTGGTGGGCAGGCGGAAAGGGAGGGAAATAATCTGTTCCTGATTCGTGGGGTCGGTCGTCGCCGTAGTACCTAGGGTTAGGAGATGCCTTTGGGGTCCGCCTGGAAGGTATATCAATCAACAACGCCTCGTCTACCGTTTGACCACCGGGGTAATGGGCGTCGAGCGTCCTACCCATGGGCTCATCGGGCTGCAGTATCCTGCTGGGTTCTTTATCTCTGGGACATATACGGAGGGTGATGTCGGGGGAGTCGAATTGGCGTCCCAGAGAGTTCGCGTACTTGCGAAGGATCATATCGCGGACGTCGTCTACAAGATCATCCTCGTTGATGGTGATCATGGTGGCCGAAGCCAATGGCCTCTTGACCCAGATCTTCCTGGTCACCATGTTTCCACTTATAGGTATCAGATGCTTGGGATCAGTTGAGCTTATCTCGCTATCATTGTTTGATTCGAGGAGGGTGGTGATCAACCGAGTCTGGCCGGCTGGAAGGATGCTCTGTCGCCTTGGGGGTCCAGGGGGTCGGTGCGCTGAGGGAGGTCGTGATGTGGTTGTGGGTGTCGCTGTCGTTGGGGCCGCTGTCGTTGGTGGTGCCGCCGTGGGTACCGGATCCGTCGCAACAACCGGAGAACTACTAGGGGCGTCTATTCTGAGTATTGGGTACGGCTCCTGGTCTGTATGTACATCGTCGTTATCGTCATCTACATCGGCATTGTAATTGTAATTGGGGTCAGAGCTGTGAGGCCTTGAGCTGGAGCGAGCCTGGGTATGGGCAGTGGTAGGACGTGGCTGAACTATTGCGGTTGTCGCAGTTGCTGCAGTTGCTGCAGTAGCGGGGCGACCTTCGCGAATACTTCCAAGTGCAGGCGTGTTCTGTAGATCCCTGCCAGACGCAGTGTTTTCGTCGGAGTCGTCGGAGTCGGTGTTGTTGGTGCTGGTGTTGGTGCTGGTGCCGGTGCTGGTGTTTTGGGAGGTGAGTGCAGAGGCAGGTGAAGGCTGTTGTAGTGGTAGTGATAGCGGTAGCGGTAGCGGTAGCGGTAGTGGTAGCGGTGCTGCAGGTGGTACTGCAGGTGGTACTGGTAGCGGCAGCGATTGCAGTGGCAGTGACAGTGACAGTGGTTGTAGCGGGTGCGGGTGATGATGGTTATGGCGATAATCCTTATTGCTGCTAGCGCTATTGCTTGTTGTGGTGGTGCAGGTGGTGGTTGTTAGCGCGGGTTCTGTCTCAGCCCGAACGTCCGTCGCTGCGCCGTTTCCGTTCTCTGTAGTGCCTGCAGTTCCAGTAGCTCCAGCAGTTCCAGTGTTTCCAGCATTTCCAGCGTTTCCAGCGTTTCCAGCATTTCCAGAAATTCCAGCACTTCCGGTAGTTTCAGCATCAAAACTAACATGGAGGACCGGGTGGTTATTTCTAGTGCCGACGTCGAAGCTCTTAACAGGCCTAATAGTAGCAGTAGAGGAAGAATTTCCATCGTTGGTAGTAGCCGTAGGTATCGTTGGAGCCCTTAGCGATGACTTTGGCTTGTCTTTCCTACCTGTAACTGCTGCGAGTTCAGCAAAATGGTTGTTGCCGTCGTTATCACCACTAGCACTTCTGTTACTCCTGGATGATGTCCCGCTGACCCTCTCCTGGGCCGAGGCCAGCGCCTCATCCCCGTATGATAAAGATCTTGCAGTCGGCCAAGGTTTATCGCTGCCATCACGACTACTTTTTCGAGTCATGGATCTGAAGTAATGCATAGGTCGCAAGTGGTTGCTACTATTGGTCCGTTTCTTGGCACTCGAGCTACATGTAGAGTCAGGTGTCGCGGGTGTTGCTGGTGTCAGGGGTGTTTGAGGCGACGACGAGTGCTGATGGAGGCTCCCGTCCCCGTCTCCGTTCTCCTTCCCGTGATCGTGACCATGCCCATGGCCATCTTCATGCTCAAGCGAGATGGAGTTGGACGCCGAAGGAACATCCCCGTTTATGATGGAACGCGCATGCGTCGTCTGGGTATGCGTGCTTGAAGCTCCATCGTGCTTGAGACTGCTACTACGGTTGCTGTTGCTGGACAGAAATGTCGGCGATAAACTGTTTCTCCTGAAGAGCCTGGCTTTGAAACGGGCCCTGAAATCGCCGCCCATTTAGAAGACAGGAGAGAAAAGGACGGGAGGGTGTCGACTTGCGTCTCCAAGAGTCCAGGAATCCAGGAGTCCAGGTATCCGGGTCTCATAAGGAAATGGAAATACAGTGTGGAGCTGTCGTGGTTGGCATCATCTAGTCAGGTCCGTGGCTGCGTGGGTATATCGCTGCTCCCAGTTGTGACCAAAGCAAGTTGAATCGTTACGTTGAAAGTTGGGTTGGAGAAGCTGCGAGCTCTTGTGGTTGTCTTCCTTTTCTGATTTCCCTTCCCTTCTTT